TAAAAAAGTTCTACTGTTTAACTCGTCCATAGTTTTTTTCGTTTGAGTGAAAATGTTTTCAGGCTTAACAAGTCAGGTTAACAGCTGGATGGGCAAGAAACAAGAAGGAGAAGTGCTCAAAGGTGAAGGAGATGCTGTCAAGAACGAAGAATTTACCGAAGCTGGTGATAAGAAAGAATCTAGGTAAAGCTGCTAATACTGTGAGGTAGCTCCTTGCCATCATCAAATCTCATAATCCATAGATTTGCTTACCTGTAACTTGAGTATCTACCTCCTGCATTTGTTCAATGATGCAGTACTTCGATCTATGAAGTCAATCTTTCTTACTGGTTATGAATTCATCTCGTTTCAGTAACTCAAGTACCTATTGGGTACTTGCTAAACTTGCGTAATACGTACTGAGTATTGCAGGTGTTTTCTAGTATTCTTGTCGATACTAAGAACCAGTAACACTATACAAGTGTACTTTCTGACCTGTGAATCTGAAGTAGTGTCATACTCCAGTATTGTCCATAACAAGGTCTTCACTTATCAGGTGTTGAAGATCAGGGTTCATGGTCAATATTTAACGACACAGTTAAGGGCAACATGGATCCAAAAACATTTTAATGCAGTCGAATGTTGACGAATTCTCCCTTTTGAATAATTCTGTTTATTCCTTACGTCATCAACTCACTTGACTTCCTCATGAACTTCTTATTTGATCATAAACTTTTGTGGATCACTCTCATTGTTTTCATTTTATGTACCAGTTTTATGTAAATGATGCTAAATATTGTCACTAGTTTCTAATTCAGAAGTACAAATTACGAGTTACAATTTTGAAACCGACTAAAATTTCTATTCCAAAATTTCAACGATCATTCACCAGAGGAAATTGCTCCTGTGTGATTTAATTGTGTTTGGACAAGCATACTATGATATTCCAAGACTCGATTCAAGAATCATAACCATTTTTAAGGGTTTTTAAAAAGAATTTAATCAGCATTGTCCAAATCCTCTTTTTTGTAGTCGTAATTTCATTCATTTTGATTTTCAGTCCTACCAAAACTAGTCGTCTGGAAATGCTGGGTAACGTGAAGAACCAAATGACTAATTGGATTGGAGGTGGAATTGCTAGTTTGAGGAAAACGTCCGAAGGCGATGCGTCTGCTGTTGCAGAACAAGCCCCAGATTCACCTCTGTTAGAGAACTCGCCCAAAGATTCTATAAAAGAAAAAGATGACGATGATAATTCTAGGTGTGTTTACAATTCTAGCTTGTATTTGCTGGTACTTGTAAATCGGTGTTCTAATTTATGTCTGCATTTCTAGTGCAACCGGTGGAGCCGATAGTGACGTGCTGATTTCAGATGAGGAAGATGCTGGTAAAGACGAAGGATTTGCAACTGCTGCAGGTATTTGAATATTTGCATTATTTATTTTGAGTTGTCTTACGGAAGGGCTCCAAGTTGGTGATGTATGTTCAGATAAACGCACTTGATATTTTCATCTACCAGAATACTGTTTTATAGAATTTTTGGTTCCGATTTTTGGATGAAAATAACTGGTAGAATGGAAAAATTGTAGTGTTGACAAATTTGAGATTGGCCCTCGAAATAGACCAAAACTGACTTAATTAGTCACCAATTTGAAAAATTTTGCTCAACAGATTTCCAACTTGTCGTATCTATTAAGCTTCAAAAAAGATGAAAATACACCGATATTTTACACAAAATCCTTTTTCTTATGTTTGGTCAGTGAATAGAGTATTTGTGGTCAATATTGAAGATGGTAATCTGAATATGTATCATGTTTTCAGTTTGACGTATCTAATTATAAATAATTTTTGTGGTTACTCTTTTTGAAATCGATGGGTGAATATTTTGTGTGTTTTCTTAAACGAGTAAAGAAAAAAGGTGGTCAACATTTTTCCTGTTTGTTTTCACAGCAGTTAAAGTGAAGCTATGATGACATGTTTGTCCATTAAGAGAATAAGAGTTGTAATTCCTTGCTGTAAAAAAACAGCGATTTACTTTGTCGACTCAGTAAACAAAAAGTTGAGTTTTTTGTGAGAGGTTGTGGGGAAAGGAAATTAGATATTTGGAT